TGGCAGAATAAATGTGTGGTTGGGTGGGCCAGACAAACTCGATTCTGGCTGGGGGAGCTACAGCTAAGAGGTCCCCCCAAATTTTGAATTTAGAGGCTCGTAAGTTCTGGCAAAGATTTGTTTCACCCAACCACCACAAAAACTGTTTCAAAACAAGCAAGAATCATGAATACTCAATATATAATAACCTTAGGCAGCAAAGAATATTAGGTTCCCCCACTCTAATTTCTTTTGGATAGCTACGCTCGCCCCTATTTTACCTCCTGTTCCATTACCCCAGCACGTACGTCCTCTCCCAGAAAACGTTTAGATTTTTGATGCTCAATGACAGCATTTCTGGCATTTGGACCATCCACAAGGAAAACGAGTAAATGAGAAGACTGTTTCGAGGATATATTTTTGTTAATTTGGTGACTGCACATTTGAGTTTTAAGAACTGCACATTTTGTGTAGAACTGCACGTTAAAATAAACCGATTAACGTATGTCGTGAAATTAGCGACTTTTGAGCAACTTTTATGCTTTTTAGAAAGCAACATTTTTGTTTTAGAGAGCAACTTTTTGGGATTTTATGAGCACAATCGGGATTTATTGTGCCTAATCCCTTTTTACAATTTTTTTTGAAAAATACTCTTTTTATATCGATAAATTTTACCCCTTCAATTTTCTTTCAACCCTTTTTCATTTTAGAGCATAACAAGACAGTTAAACTTTTCACTTAAGTACTTACAATAAACAAAAATCGTCCAGCTACTGAAATATTTACATGCAAAACAAAATTTGTCAAAAAACCGCGCGAAAATGGTTATGAGGCTTTTCAGACAGAGTTGGGAGTTATTATAATACAATTCATGTAGAAAAATATTAAATGCATTTGAAAATTTCTTTTCAAGTACCCACGACTTAGTTTTAACAGTAAAAAACGTCAATTTATTCATGTTTTAGAAGGAAAAAAAGAAGACTAAAAGATCTGGATAAATAACACTCACTCCTCGAAACTTAGACTTGGATCAAGTCCGTCTCTCAACACTCCGAGGGATCGAGCGCGCCGCGCGAGGTGCAATAACGCGGGAAAGTTTGAGGGACTCTCGGACTCTAGAGAGACGGACTTGATCCAAGTCTACTCGAAACTCTCCTTAATCCTTTTGAAAGCTGATTTTCCCGCGCGTCGGCTTCAACGAATCATATAGGCCTTTATCATCTTATAGTTAGCATTCCAGTTTACTTCTAGTTCAATGGTTTTGACAAACAATTACGTAATTTGTTTCCACATGTAGTAGTATTGCGTAATTTGATTAAAAATTCGTAAGACTCTGCAGAGGTGAGTGGGTCCGCACAGTAGGACACTAGTCTCGCTCTTTTTTCCTTTGTCATACAAACGGGAAAAAACCTCGACTAATATCCTCCAATTCGGAGTTCTCGCTCAGTCAATAACATATACAGCTAATTCAATGGACCTTTCACCTTTTGACTAAAATTTAGATCTCAACAAGTCTAGACAAAAATTTTATCACAGCTTGAAAGAGCATCACAAAATTAGTAATATTCCAAAGTTTCGTTGCGAAATGTTGTAAAATGCGGATAATATAGCCTTGCGAAGTTTGCAATTTTCAGTCATATGGTGTTACGCGCGGGAAATACATACCCTTTTTCCGAAGGAGGTATGTATTTCCCGCGCGTAATACAATGACTGAAAATTGCAAACTTCGCAGGCTATATTATATCCGCATTTTACAACATTTCGCAACGAAACTTTGGAATATTACTAATTTTGTGATGCTCTTTCAAGTTGTGATGAAATTTTTGTCTAGACTTGTTGAGATCTAAATTTTAGTCAAAAGGTGAAAGGTCCATTAAGGTTGTCCTGTCAAAGTCAGAACTCAAAACCTTGATATCTAAGCGCGTAAAGCACGATGGACCGCACATGTAGTTGATCGTCCTAAACTATTACACCGTTTTGGTATCGGCGCAAAAAAGCTATATTTATAACTTACGAAATCCCGTGATTTTCACCGATTTCGGATTGCATTTGCTCGTCTAATCCAATTCAATGGCTGAATTCATTGGTTTTAACGTTAAGGAAGTTGTTTTGGGGACATGCTTAATTAACATAAATATGCTAACATGCATGCATAAACAATCGCACAATAATAAACACTGTGCTTAGAGGTCGAATTAGTTTTGCGGTTTTATATGCACCACATTAGCTATGGTGTCGTCCGTTGATAAGGGAAAATTTTTGAACTTTTCCATGTCGAATTTGGACTTTTCCATGTCGAATTTGGACTTTTCTCTAAATGCAGCTCTAAATACTCGCACGGTCCCATAAATTAAAACTGGCCACTGAAGTTTTCCGTTGAAAAAATTGGAGGTCTGGCTGAACACAACTAGCAATTTGTCGAGCAACAGCAAATGTGTTCGGAGATAACTATTAACTGCAACAGTCCGGGATACAGCCGAAAGCCTTTAATAAGAGGTGAAAATTAGAGGACCATCCCCTCCAGATACTATGTGGCATTAACACAATGCACCTGTGTAGGCATCAATGAGTGCAGTCGTAAGTCTCCGTTCTCTCCTTACATGTAAGTCGTGCATTATAGCTGTTGGAAAACATTCCTATCAAAAAGCGAGCGAACAGATCAAGGATTGGAAATTGAAAATGGCTGGCGACATTGTTTATTGTATACGAAAAGCACACATTGGATAAAAGAACATTAGTTGTATCAAGGCAGCTCCGTTTACAGCTGCACCATCTCTCATTGCTTCAATGATTACACTAGCTAGGACAAAATTTCAAATCCAAGATTTCGCGTTCTTCTGACTTTCCATAGTGCAACAAAGCAAGCGCTACACACTAAGCTGTATTATAAAAATAACTTGTGGCAGCGAGCATGTATGCGTAGTGTGGGTAAAATAATAAACTAGAAATTACTATCGCAAGGAAAGTGCTACCTCACCCCGCCTTCCATCACATAAGCACGTGAAGCACTCCCAAGACACTTGTTCAGGAGGTAGGAAAAGTGCAATTTGAATACGAAAACACATGCATGCACTGCACAAATAATAAAAAACACACACAACAAACAAGTATCGCGCCATATTTAATCAAACAAGCTTGCCGCACGACCTTGCGGTATACAGTTCTTCTCCTTTTAAGAATTTCTTGTACGAAATCTTGCAAGAATTTCTAGGGGTACCAGGCGTTGATTAGATAACGACGGCTTCGCCCAATTAATTTAGCCGTTTTCACGTCTTTGACTTCTTCCCAGAATTTCCTTTTTCAGTACTGCTGGAATAATCCAACGCAGATAGCTGCTGCTTGTTAACCTATATGGCCATGCTTTTCTGGTAATGGTCGAAGAGCGTTTACTTCTACTAGTGGTGTTCCCAATGCATTTCAAAGTGAAACAGTTGCATTTCCGCGGGAAAACATGATCCAGTTTCATTTTATCTTATATCTCAGTCTCCTCTGCAGATATCCCATTATTGTCTGGTTTTCTGATTTGCTCTATGCAATATCATACCTTCTCCTGTTTCATCGATTCTATAAGTTTTGTGAATGAGCTTTTTTCATATAAACTTCGCTGCAAGTGTAAAGCACATTTTCTACAATAGGCGAATTTGTTCGCGCCAAGCGAAGGGAAAACATTTTGGCAATGTGATTGGTTAGCGAAAAAATTATTTCGTAGCCACTGAACATACAATTTTTATTTTTTTAAGCTAAATACATTTATGTACTTTCAGATAGGACTATATATTATTAATCTCTCTAAAAAATTACAAAGAAGAAGATTCTGTTTTCGAGAAATAGGCCTCAACTGGAAGGAACCAAACAAGGCTCACCACAAGTTCGACAGCAAGTAACCAAGTATAAGGAAGTAAACAGGTTGGCAATTTTTGAACAGAAATTACTAGTATACGTGCCTGTACTCTTTTATATTTTATACACTGTATATGTCTGTAAAACTAATTATAATAATGCATAAGAAAATTTTAAAAAATCAATGTTTTTTCACGTCGATGTTGTATCAGACATATACAACCCCTCGCCTTCGGCTCGAGTTTGTATATCTCATACAACACACGCGGCTCATGCTATACAGGCATTACAGGGTGTCTATAAAAAAACGCAACAGAAATTCAACGGGCTGTCGCATGCATCATAAACGTGGCTAAACAATTCAATTTTTACATAGGACGAAAGAACAGTTATACTTAGCTTTTCAATGATACTCTTTTTAAATCGTAACGATGAGAAATGGCCACATACTCGTCAAATAAAAATTGCCGGTCGAAATCACATTCTTCCACCGTCGGGAATTGCATGGAAAACGAAACATAGACAATTCCCAAGAGGAAATTAAAGTTGAATGTTAAATTATCTAAAATGAGCTCAACTCGTCAATCTTCGTCTTAGTGAGACAATAAGAACGTCCATTATTGCATTAAACATGGTTCATTTAACCACTGAACAGAGAACGTTTGTAATCAAAACGTTTTACGAAACAAATACCTTGCAGCAGGCTCGCGTTGCTTTTGGATTAACTTTGCACAATTAATGTATTTTCAATTCCCAACGGTGGAAGAATGTGATTTCGACCGACAATTTTTATTTGACGAGCATGTGGCCATTTCTCATCGTTATGGTTTAAGAAAGGTATCATAGAAAAGCTAAATAACAGCTCCTTCGTCCTATATAAAAATTGAATTGTTTAGCTAAGTTTGTGATGCACAACAGCCTGTTGAATTTCCATAGCGTTTTTTTTAGACACCCTGTATATACTACGTAGGTACTATTTTCCATGATTGCACTGTAAATTTGTAATCTTAAGACGTTAAATACTTCAGTCTTCTGGGTTATGATCTGTGAGATGATTAGAATGAGGGATTTGGCTAGAATCTTCATACGAGGTATAAATACTCGCCTGTGTTTGAACCAACGAGCTTTTGTTGTCTCTCTTAACATTTTTTTAAGAACAGACTTCTCTGAAGTAAAGGTACCACTTTGATGTCAGTTATGTCATTCAGGACTGCCTATAAATGTTGGGAAAAAGGAAACACCATGAGACTAAACCAAATCAGGTTTCGCTTGTTTTTACCCGTTGCCAGCCAGAACCCAGTTTTCTGACGCATTTTTTTCTGGTTGCAGTCCTCCCTGAGGGAATAAAGTTCGGTTGGCCAAAAACTCATATAATATCAAATGTAAGTGCATGCAGCTTTAAGCGTTGATGACGTAGCTCGCCAGGAAAAACCAGTTAAATTAATATAACTGGAACGCTACCTCAACCCGGAAAATTGAAGCCAAACTTGAAGGCTAGTCCCAGTCTTTTCACGTATGCGAAGAGCGCGGTCAATTCGTCAACAATACATCAATATTTATTATTGAAAACCGGCTTAAATTTTACTATAAAAGGTTTTTTACAGTGCTCAAAGCTTTCTGTCATTATTCAGGTAAGACTTATCAATAGACTTCACTTTTATTATTATTTTTTTCTAATAATAGCGCGGCATGCTCGCTCCCTGAACTAGTCTCCCGAAAGAATCGCGAGGCATATTAAGAAAAAGATAGGTAGTTTATCTCAAGGTAGCGTTCCAGTTATATTCATTCTACTGGGGAAAACGCGAATGGTAAACAAGACAGAACCTCAAATCACTGTCTGATATGTACTTAAAAACACTGGACTGCAGGCTAGGAGTCAAAGTGGTCTTGATTAGAGCTCACGTCGAATGGTCGATGAAAATTACACCAATTTTTAAACTAATGATAACGTACAAGAGACTGTTTTCTGGTACATCAGTGAAAATAATTCAGTTTCAAGTTACTTAAATACAAACACTGACGATTAATAGGCTCTTTCCAGTTATAGGGCAAATTAAATTAATCACTTCGTATATAACTGTAGTCTAGAGAGCAAGCGGAATGCACTATACTTTGTTGCTCTATAAATCCCATTGTATACTCCATGCTCTACAGTCATAATTACGATTCAAAGGGCCTATCACACGACATACCTCAGCACCTTGCGCCGATGTCACGCCAAGCAGGTTTTTACCACGAAATGCAAATATTGAGTGAGCTAACACTGCAAAGGACAGAGATGAAGAAAGTTAATATATAAATGCATGGAATTCACGTGAACACTCAAAGTTGAATCAAACTGGATAATATCCTCATGACGACTAGGAAAAGCATACTGTAGGTATATCACCACGAACGCAACAATTCTTGTGATACAGTATGGTATACAATGCAAATTTCATGCAGGAATAACCAATATACAAATTAGGATATAAATGCACTGTAATCGACAGTTTTGAATTGTCTATAAATTTAACAAGAAATATCATTCTGTGATGTTGCGAAGGAAATATATCAATTATAGAGTTTTTGAAAATTTCTGAAAAACCGTCCGAGATTCGAATGATTTGCCTCTCGTCACCAGCAGTTCTTACCAGCAAGTATCTCCAATGAGTTGTATCCAAGAACTCTATCCCACAATATCAGTACCTATATATAAAAAACACGTTATTACATACTCAGCATTCAATTTAAGAACGCTTACACTCGACATATACTATATATAACATTCGTGATTGCATGCTATGGCCTATGGCAAAATATTATATTCCGTTGGCGTTGTTGGAAGGTTTGACATAAGGAAATATTCTGTTAATGTTGTCCTTATGGAAATATGTCATACATATTTCGTTTCTATACATGCAGTTATTTTACATTGGGAGAAACTGTACTACACTGCACTGCACTGCACCGCACCGCACTTATTATCAGCCTAATATTTACACATTTACTGTACATTGACATGCAGACTCGATGTGGAAAAAATATACTTACTTGCTCGCTTTCCAAATAGCCAGAAAAGGCATAAAATATCCAGTTGAACGCCGTTTTCAGGCTGTTAGAAGAAAACACGACGAAAATATAGCATGCAGTAACTATATAGTTAAACTTAGGAGAATATAGATTGTTTAAATGCCATTATATATATATACCGGGTGTCCCCCAAAAAAGTACTCCGGTTTGATTTATAATAACTTCTAAACGAGTGAAGCTATTAAACTGAAATAACTTTCATTACATAGAGGGAAGTCTAACTTATAGATCTTGATATATTACAGTTGTATTTTACTTAAAAATTCACGGAGATATTAATGTTCAAAATCAGTAGCATATTTCTGGATGTGTCTAAAGTTAGCGAAAATCGGCATATCAAATATTAATCAAGTGTTGCTCGCTCAGCTTAAAGACATCTGGCTAACTTATATTTCAATAAATTATCTTAAGGGTTTGTAAGGGATATAACGTAGATTTAGGTATCTTACATGTAAGTTTTAGCTTATTGTTTCCTGAAATACTAACGTTCGAAATTATGCAAGTATTTGATAATTTATTAGATCTTTAAAAACTTAAAAAATACCTGAAAGACCAAGGCCAAGGGGTCATATATTTTTCTTGAATTTTTTTTCATATTTTGGGTATAAAACAAAGTTGATTATTTCTAGGTTAGAGTAGGATGAATATTGTTCTTTAATTAAGAAAGTAATACTGCATGCATTTTTGCAAATACACATGCATTCCAGTGTCAGCGCTTTTATTTCTGTTACGTTTTGTTCCAAAAATGTTGAATGTCTCTGGGGAATTGATGTTATGTCTTATGGAGTTATGGTTTGATTGTGTTTAATTCTGAGTTTATTCTGAACATGCCAAGATTAAGCAAAGATCAAAGAGTTTGGGTGTACTTAGAGCATGCAAGATTTCAGAACGCGGAAGAAGTTAGAAGACGATGGCCGGGTCGTTGGGGTAATATTCCTGCCCCAACTAAACGAACAATCAGCACAACGTATCGAAAGTTTTTGCGCGAAGCGACATGCCACGATTTAAATAAAGGTCGAAGTGGTCGTCCAAGAACCGCAAGGACGCCTGAGAATATTGAACTTGTACGCGAGTCTTTATCACAACATGGCAAAAGATCTTCACGACGAAACGGGCTATAGGGTTAAGTCGAAGTTCCTTTCACCGTATTGCTAAACTTGACATCAAATTGCATCCATATACGTTATGATTACACGGCATGCAGAAGTTAAGGGAAGGTGATCCGGTACAACGAATGGCATTCTGTAACCGACTTGTCGATACAGTTGAACAGAACCCTATGGAAACGGTCATCCAGCAGACCATTACGTTGAGTTTGCTCAAGGTGTCGATCAAGTAATGGTATGGATTGGTCTTACTCGAGCAGGCGTTGTTCTTGGTCCACATTTTGCAGAGAGAAACCTCGATACAAGAGAATATTTACGTATTATACGTTACCATGTTATACAGAGGGACTTTCACGTTCATAACATCGACAGGAATAACATGTGGTGGCAACAAGATGGAGCTCCTGCACATACCAGTAATGCAACAATGCAATACTTTCGCGGACAGTTTCCTCTTCGACTGATGAGCAAACGTGGGGATTGGCCATGGCCGCCTCGCTCTCCAGACCTGGCAATATGCGACTTTTTTTTTGGGGGGGGGGGGATACCTTAAGCAGCAAATTTGGAATGTACCACACGATCAGCAACCGCAGAATTTAGAAGAGCTTCGCAACTCAATTGTGACAGCATGCCGTAGTCTAGAACAACGAATGACCATGACTCCTTCGACGCAATGGTCTCACGGGCTAGGCAGTGCATTCGTGCTAGAGGACACGCGATTCCGAACGAATAAATCTTCCTTATATTTTGTAAATAATAATACTTCGTCTCATAATAAACAATTTGTCAAGTGTCATTTATTTACTGCTAATAGTGCGTGTTCCAGTCGAGCAAAGCTTGATTAATATTTGATACGGCGTTTTTTGCATATTTTAGACACATCCAGAAATAAGCTCCCGATTTTGAACATTACTATCTCCGTGAATTTTTAAGCAAAATACAACTGTAATATATCAAAATCTACGTTAGTCTTCCCTCTATCTAATGAAATTTATTTCAGTTTAATAGCTTCACTCGTTTAGAAGTTATTACGAATCAATTTTTTTGGGGACACCCGGTATATATAGATTATACATCTTGTGTTTTTCTTTAAAGCTGTAAATGGTCTGATCGACGTATCTAAAAAGATGTTCTCCCTCAACATATTATTCCAACCCGAGTTCCCCGATCATCCAGTACCACCGAGTTGTTGTTCCGTCCACAAGACTGCAGGACTACTACCTTCCAAAAATGTATTTTACCCGAGCCACAAGAGTTTGGAACTCTCTTCCAACAAACTTAAGACAGCCAAATATGTTGTTAAGTATACATATAAAAGATTGCTGCGGAACTATTATTCGGAAGCCCTGCATATAGTTGTTATGATGCAGAGGATCCAAAAACGAGGAAATCTGTGTGTTTAAACTGTAACTCTTGTTACAGTGTTATAAATTGTTGTTTCTAGTTATTATATGTTAAAAGGGCCCACAGTATATATATATATATATATATATAGCACGCTCACTGCTTGCAGTTTGAGCGCTCTGGCATGGTTTTGATGTCCCACAATCGTGAGGCATCAAAGGTAACTATAAATAAGAGTTACTTTCATCCTGCTCATCAGCACTACACTGATGAGGCCCATTAGGCCGAAACGGTACCGTCTGTAGTGAGATATCGCTCTATGGCCTTTAGGTCATATTGAGCGCTCTACAGGATGAGCCATGCCGCTTACGCATTGCGCACGCTCACTGCTTGAAGTTTGAGCGCTCTGGCATGGTTTTGATGTCCCACAATCATAAATAAGAGTTACTTTCATCCTGCTCATCAGCACTACACTGATGAGGCCCATTAGGCCGAAACGGTACCGTCTGTAGTTAGATATCGCTCTATATATCTATCTATCTATATATATATATATATATATATATATATATATATATATATATATATATATATATATATATACAGGGTGTATAAAAATAAACGCAATTCATCTTTTGTGCTTAATAACTTTCGAAATACTATTTCTAGTTAAACGCTTTTAGGCTTACTTCAAAGCCTGTTCTTTTCTCTTTCAAACAAACTATTATCCTTGTTTCCAATGCTAGTAATAATTGCACAGGAAAAGATTTAGTAAAACCTATCATTTT